TATGGCAGGGCGGGCGGGGGGGTGGTCCTGCCTCTCTGCTCAGCCCTGGTGAGGCCACACCTGGAGTGTTGTGTCCAGTTTTGGGCTCCTCAGGACCAGAAGGACATGGAGTTCCTGGAGCTTGACCTGCTGCCCACACTCCTGTGGCTGCAGCCCAGGCCTGGGTTGGCCTCTGGGCTGAGCTCTCACTGCTGGGTCATGAAGTAGACATGTGCTTTCTGGACCAGGGTCACACCGAGCTTCGGAAGCTCAAATGGAGAGTATATTTAACAGAAAAAGAAAGTTTAAAGGAACATTATAATTCAGCCTGCTGAATTTGGCAGGAGTCAGGGTGCATTGAGAAGGGCTGGTGTAGATTGTTCAGAGGCAGCTTGTCAGGGTGCACCAGTCATCAGAATGCTTGAAAGGTGAGGGTTTAGGGTGGCCACAGGGGCAACCAAAGCCAGAGTGAGGTTAATGAACATTGGGCTGTTGTACATTACTGTTTTGTGCTTGTATCCTGTAATTGGCAGAAGCTTTGTAACACACCTTACTAAGGACCTGATGTTGTGCCCAGACTTGTGTCTTGTGTGTTTCAGAATTCTTGGATTAAAAAGTGGTGGATATTAACCCATCAGGCAGAAAGGGATGACAATTGATCTGACCTGGGAAGGTCTGTATAAAACAAAATACAAACGAAACAGACTGAGGGAAGTACAAAGTCACTGATAGGTGGGGTATTTCTAAGTGGCAGTTTCAGTTCAGATTAAGGGATCTACTACACTGGAAAATGAGTAGTGCTTTTGTACCTTTGTGATCCACAGCACAGGTCTGAAAGGGAAATAGCAAGGGAACAGCAAGGCAGAATGAGGAACTGATAGACCTGTGACAGTAAAAGATGAAACCAGCCACTTGCAAGGAGATAAGAACTTTAACCAGTGTTTTAAAATGGTTTCTTGGTGCTGGAAGTTTATTTCAGATGTTCAAAAAATCCCCCCTAATTTCTACCCTAGTAAATATTTGCAGAAGAAAAAGGTATTCAGAAATTCATCCCTTTGTTTGCAGTATGTGAATTTGCTGAGAACTTCAACATGAGAATTCATACCTGACACCTCTGCAGGGGAGGGGAAAATTCTTTGTGGAGGTGAAAAGTCAGAAAACCTTTGCGTCTTTTAAAAATAAATGTCTTTGTTGTGGAAGAGGGTTTGGGGCTTAGAGTTCAGTTTTGTGTGTTATTTGCTGTGGAAATGGGATCCAGAGTTTGTGGAAATACAGTTAGGAATTACTGGTAGTGTTTGGTATGCGACCGTTGATGGCCCCCTGAGCAGCAAAGAATTTTCAAAGCTCCTTCTGGCAAACAGTATGGCTTTGTCTCCTCAGCATCCTTTCAGCTGGAAACTGCTTGACTCTAAGGCATTTTGATCCTTCCTACCCTAGAGAATCAGACCACTAAGTAGCACAATTATTTTTGCTGGAAGTCTTAGTTTTTCCTGGCTGACATTGGAGTTTTGAACCCTTTTAGGGCATGTTGTGTGGGGTTTTTGTGGTGTTTCCCCCTAGGGCTCCAACAGTGTGTGAAACACAGGAAAGAACTAAATAACTTTTAAACGTGTTTTTATGACACAACTACCTCTGCTTGACTTCAGTTGGTCTCTCTTTATGCTAGGATTGCTGTACATTTGAGAACTGAAGTCCTGTTGAAACTGAGGTTTCTCCCTGCTGAGTCACTTTTCCCCTTTGCTCATGTCGACGCTCAGTCTCATGCCATACACAGGAGCTGTGCTTTTCTGGGGAGGGTGAGGTGGAATGGGGAGGGCTGCAGAACCTCCTGTGGGATCTTGGGTGATCCCCTCACTGTGTATTCATCACAACTTCCTCTTCCATAGGTCTCCTTGTGGGTACTCTTGATGTCGTGCTGGACTCCAGTGCCAGGGTGGCACCATATCGAATCCTGTACCAAGCTCCAGATTCCTTGGTCTATTGGACTATTGCCTGTGGTAAGGACAAATACTCTCACGCGTGGGTTTTTATTCTTCCTGGGTACTGTGCCACATAGCTAAGAGAGCATCCTTCCTGCT